GGCGCCGCCCCCCCCCCCCCCCCCCACTGTTCCCCCCCCCCCCCCCCCCCTCGCCGCCTGCCACACCAGCTGCCATCCCCACCTCAGCACCCATTCCAGCCTCCTTCAGTTTGAGTCGAGTGTGTTTCCCTGCAGCTCAGGCACCAGCTATGCAAAAAGTCCCCCTGTCTTTTCAGCCAGGGACAGTGCTGACCCCTAACCAGCCGCTGGTATACATCCCACCTCCAAGTTGTGGGCAGCCACTCAGTGTGGCTACACTGCCAACCACCCTGGGAGTCTCCTCCACGCTCGCGCTCCCAGTCCTGCCATCTTACCTACAGGATAGGTGTCTTCCAGGTGTGTTGGCCTCCCCAGAGCTCCGCTCTTATCCATATGCATTTTCTGTGGCCCGGCCTTTGGCTTCAGATTCGAAGTTGGTCTCTTTAGAGGTGAACAGGCTCTCCTGTACTTCCCCATCCAGCAGCGCCAACACCCAGCCTGCTCCTGATGGGGTCCCTGGACCTTTGGCAGATACCTCCCTCACCACCGCTTCTGCCAAGGTGCTTCCAACTTCACAGCCTTTGCTGCCAGCCCCCAGTGGGAGCTCGGTCCCACCACACCCCTCCAAGATACCAGGTGGCACAGAGCAACAAACAGAAGGGACTTCTGTTACCTTCTCTCCTCTCAAGTCACCTCCACAGCTGGAGAGAGAGATGGCCTCTCCACCCGAGTGCAGCGAGATGCCTCTTGACCTCTCTTCCAAGTCCAACCCCCAGAAGCTTCCATTGCCGAACCAGCGTAAAACACCTCCCATGCCTGTGTTGACCCCTGTGCACACCAGCAGCAAGGCCCTCCTTTCCACAGTCCTGTCTCGGTCTCAGCGCACAACTCAGGCTGCCGGCAGCAATGTCACTTCCTGCCTGGGCTCTACTTCTTCTCCTTTTGTTATCTTTCCTGAGATGGTGAGGAATGGAGACCCAAGCACCTGGGTAAAAAACTCAACGGCTCTGATCAGCACCATTCCTGGCACATATGTGGGAGTGGCCAACCCAGTGCCTGCATCCCTGCTGTTGAACAAGGACCCTAATCTGGGCCATAACCGAGATCCTCGCCATCTCCCCAAGCAGGAGTTTCTCTCCATCATTGATCAAGGAGAGCCTAAGAGCATTGGTGCCACTTGTGGCAAGAAAGGCAGCCAGGTTGGTGCTGAGGGACAGCAAAGCACAGTCAAATCCCGTTATACCCCAGCCCGCATTGCCCCTGGGCTGCCAGGGTGTCAAACCAAGGAACTGTCTTTATGGAAATCTACAGGGCTGACAAATATGTACCCACGGTGTTCCGTCAATGGGAAACCCACTAGCACCCAGGTCCTGCCTGTTGGCTGGTCCCCATACCACCAAGCATCTTTGCTTTCCATTGGCATTTCCAGTGCCGGGCAACTAACCCCCAGTCAGGGGGTGCCTATCAGGCCCACCAGCATTGTTTCTGAGTTTTCTGGTGTGTCATCTCTTGGCTCCAATGAAGCTGTTCATGGACTTCCTGAGGGGCAGCCACGGCCTGGGGGCCCCTTTGCGCCAGAACAGGATGCTGTCACAAAGAACAAAACTTGCCGAATTGCTGCCAAGCCTTATGAAGAACAAGTCAATCCTGTCCTCTTGACTCTCAGCCCTCAGACAGGGACCCTGGCGCTGTCTGTTCAGCCTAACAGTGGGGACATTGGAGTGAATCAGGGACCTGATGAATCTGAGAGCCACATCTGCTCTGATAGTAGTCCTAAGATGGAAGGCCCCCAGGCAGCCTGTGGCCTGAAGCTGGCAGGAGACACAAAGCCTAAAAACCAAGTGCTAGCTACCTATATGTCCCATGAGCTGGTCCTGGCCACCCCCCAGAACTTGTGCAAGATGCCTGAGCTGCCTTTTCTCCCTCCCGCCAGCCACTCTAAAGAACTCGTTTTAGATGTGGTTCCAAGCAGCAAGAGGGGCCCCAGCACAGACCTTTCGCAGCTTGGAAGTCAGGTGGATCTGGGGCGGGTGAAAATGGAGAAAGTGGATGGTGATGTGGTCTTCAATTTAGCCAGCTGCTTCCAGGCTGATGGTCTCCCAGCAGTTCCCCAAAGGGGCCTGGCTGAAGCTCGGGCTAAAGCTGGGCAGCCTCGAGTGAAACGGGAAAGTGTTGGGGTCTTTACTTGCAAGAACAGTTGGCAACCAGATGAAGAAACAGAATCTCTGCCCCCCAAAAAAGTGAAATGTAACAAAGAAAAGGAAATTGAGGAAGAACCACAGCAGCAGCAGCAGCAGCAGCAGCAGCAGCAGCAGCAGCCGCCGCCACCGCCACCGCCACAGCCGCAGCAGCCACCGCCCCCACCCCCACCACAGTCTCATGATAAACCTATGGCCCGGAGTTCCCTGGGATCCAAGGTGGGTTTCATTGTATGGCTGAGAACTGAGGGTCTGCTTCACTTGTGGGTGTCTGCTGCGTTTGACCTCCTCCCTCCCCACTCAAGACCGTGTTCTTGAGCAGCCTGGCTGTGTGAACAGAGCTGATGAATGAAAGGCTTTCCCCTTTTAACTCGGGGTCTCTGTATGTATTTTTACCTGAAATGGGCCTAACTCATTCCATAGGATGTAGGAAATGATTTCATCCTTGGGGCCAGGGAAGCCATTGTCCTCGATAAAGTTGGGAAGCAGAAGGAAGGTATTGGTGAAGGAAATCACTTAATCACAGGCTTTTCCCCAAGGAACAGTTCTTCCTGATTCTTCAAAGATGATGGACTGTAACACGAAAAATAAAAACCCAGAGACAGATATTGGGGTTCAAGCTGAAGGTCAGAAAAGCAAAGTAGCCAAGCCAGTAACTCTTACCTCTACCCAGGCTGAAGCAATCCTGCCTTCAATGTGGCTGGAGACTCATTGCCCGAACGTGGCTAGAGACCAAAATGCCCCAGACTGAATATCTGCTCCTATCTTATATACCTTTCTAGAGCTGCTATTTAAAGGTGTGTGAGATCCCTTTTGTGTGAGCTGTTTTCTCTTTTAGACTGAGTCGATCATGTGTAACCCTGGGTGGCCTTGAACTCTCAGAGATCCATCTGCCTTTGTCTCCTGAATCCTAGGATAAAAAGTCTGCCAGCACTGCCCAGCTTCTATAGCTAGTATGGCTAGTGTGGCTGCCTTTGCCTTTTGATCCTCCAGGCATTCTCTTTTTGATTTTTCGAGACAGGGTTTCTCTGTGTAGCTTTGTAAACCAGGCTGGCCTCAAACTCACAGAGATCCACCTGCCTCTGCCTCCTAAGTGCTGAGATTAAAGGTATGTGCCACCACTGCCAGGCAATTTTTTATTAAATCGTAAATATCACCACAATGGACCACTGGCCTTGGCAGTTTGGGGCCCAAGGAAGGAAGGAACTTTTTGATAGGGTCATTTTGGCCCCAGTTCTTCCTAGCTCTGTGACATTAAGCTTGCAACTTAATCTCTATTACCCTCAATTCTGTCATCTTTGAAATAAGACAAATAGTAGTACTTATTCAGAGGGTTGTTGGAAAGATTAAATGAGATGTTGATATGAAATATCCAGAACAGGCAAATTGATAAGAGACAAAGTAGCCTGATAGTTGCCTGGGGCTAGGAGATTTGTTGAGTAACCAATTAATAGGAGTAGGGTTTCTATTCAGGGTGATGAGAAAGTTCCTGTATGAGACCAATGGTGATAGTTACACAATTCTGTGTTTATACTGAAAACAATTGCATTGTGCATGTAAGTAAGTGAATTGTACAGCATAGCTCAGTAAAGCTGTTACAATTAATGAGATGGTGTACAAGTGCTTAAAATAGTACTTGGCACATAATTAAGCACTCAGTTGGTGTCAGTGGCTGCTTTTGTTTTTCAGTTTCACAAATAGAATGGCTCCTGCCCTCATGGAGCTTATGTCTTGCCATGTTGACTTAATGACAAGTAGGCATAGCCCTTCCTATAAGAGATGAGTAATTCAGTAGGCCAATTGAGAAATGAAGGGAACAGAGAATAAAGTTACAGGAGAAGGAGATGACAAACAGCACTTCCAGTTTTTTTTCTTTGGAAACCAAGTAATCCAGGTGTTTTGTTAGGTCCCATTTTGTTGAGAACCATGTGACTGATAACTAAGCGAAGATGAGGTGTTAATTCAAAACAATCCATTGCTGGGGGTGGTTAAGAGGCAGACTAGGCTCCTGTTCCTTGTTTGAATTACGTTTCTTTGAAAAATTTTGTTACATTTATATTTGTTTTCTGTGCTCATGCGCATATATGTGGTACATGCATGCTACAGCATCTGTGTAGAGGTCAGTGGAGAATTTCAGCCGTTCCCTTTCTGCTGTGTGGGTCTCAAGGATCGAACTCAGGTCATTGTATGTAGCAGAAAGCACCTTTACCTTCTAATGCATGTTGCCTGCCAAAGAATTATGTTTCATTTAATGCTGCCTATACTTCATTCTTGTTCTTTGAAACATATTTCAAAACTCTGTTAACCTGAACATTGATCTTGATTTCTCCATCCTCCCAACTTCTGGTTAGAGTGCATCATATATTTTTACTTTCACTGCTGCCCTGGCAGATGATACAAGCAAAAATCTCTCCTAGGTGTTCTGTTATGTCTATCTTAGGAAGTAAAAGTTAATGATCTATACTCAAGAGAGGCAGCTAAAAACAATATTTAGAAATAAATAGGACATGTTCAAATTTTATGTGCATTTAACTTTATTTCTCCTGGCTTAAAATAGTTGTTCTTTGGATGTACCTGGAGGTCACATTTTAAGCATCATCTTCCTCTTTTCTCCCTAGTTCTTTGTTTTCTAACACTTTGGTTCATAGGAACTCATAGTAACTTGAATTTCATTCAGCTTAGTCCTCTGCTGAGTAATGGGTAATGGGTACTCCCTGTGCATGGAGAATTGAGGGTTCTTTCCCCTCACATATCCCATCAGTAAGATAGCTGCCATCCTGTTTGCTGGAACTAGAATTTGATAACCGTACTGGAATGTGATACAGATGTGATTATGGGAAAACACATGTGTTAGTCTTCATTCCAGTGAGTAGGTACCTGAGAAAATGATGAGAGAAGCATAGTTTTGGCTCACAGATTCAGAGATTTCAGTCCCTCATAGTGGGAAGAGTGTAGTGCAGTAGAACAACAGCCAACAGCTTGTGTTTTGCTCTGGTGTTTACCTGAATAAAGAAGTCTTACCATCATGGACTACAGTTCATCTTTGAGCGCACACAGCAACCCTTAACAAAACACCTTTAATCCCAGCACTCGGGAGGCAGAGACAGGCAGATCTCTGAGTTCCATGCCAGCCTGGTATACAGAGCGAGTGCCAGGATAGGCTCCAAAGCTACACAGAGAAACCTTGTCTCGAAAAAAAAAATCAACTTTGGATGCATGTTCAGGGGCCATGAATCCAGATTCTGCAGACATCTTTAAAGTTACATGGATGCCTGAAGTGACCAGCAAGGGCATTTGACTCAGCCCGAGAGCCTTTATAGCTGAGTGTGCCCTATAATACTGTGACATACACATTCACATGTGAGTAACAGGCACATAACTTGTCCCTGGGAGAACATTCTTAAGCAAAACTGATCTCAGATATAACTCTTTCTACCTTTTTACAGTGCCAAAAGCTGTCTGGAGATCCCCAGGAACCCACCAAGAAAAGCCCCAGAGGGGCTTCAGATTCAGGAAAAGAGCACAATGGCGTCAGGGGAAAGCACAAGCACTGGAAGCCAACAAAGCCAGAGTCACAGCCTCCAGGAAAACGAGCTGATGGTCATGAAGAAGGTAGGCCCTAAAGGCCATGCATGACCTTAATAGGCTGAGCTCCAGAGGGATGCACTGGAATTTTGGTGGGGAGAGAATGGCTGAGAGATTGAGTAGAAAATGGATTCTTCTCTGCCGTAGAGTAGAGATAGAATTAGAACCTCTGAAGTCAACAGCCAGGGAGGGCGGGTGTGTTCTGGCCCAATGCCTTAGAGTACCACACATTCTGAAGTCTTAATGTTGAATAAGGTGGTTTGCAAACAGATAGATAGGAGTCCTACAATAGAGTCACTAAGCCATTTCCATGAGTTGGGATTAACGTCTAAAGAAGCAGCTGTAAGAATACTTAGACAAAAAAAAAGCAGAATTGGGATTCATAAACACTGTTTTTTCCTCTACCTTTTGGTATGTTGGAAAACTCCCATTCTAAAAAAAAATAGCTGACTAGTTAGCTTGCTAGAAAGGTTTACAGATGTCTGAAACTCTTATCAGTTAAGGATACCTAGATGTTTGGTTTGGGTATGGGGTATACTTGAACTGTGTGTTATAGATGGTCCCTCGGTGCTTTCATGGGAGATGACCAGGCATTTCTGGCTACAGAAGTCCATGTTCATGATCTTGCTCACCAGACACGACCCACCTCTTCTACTTTGCTCTTGTATGCCTGTTTCCATGTGTCCACTTCTTCTGCCTTACCTTGCTAAGGTCCAGTGAGGTTGCTATTGTATGGAATAAGCTACAGCTCAGAACGTAATGAGCATCCAACAACCTTTGAGTTATGTAGGCAGATAACTCTACTTTGGGGCATGCTGTTGAATTGATTCGGTACATTCCCTTTATTGATGCCAGTAAAAATGGCCCAGCCCCCAGTTTTCTAAACCACCATTCCCAAAGAGATGGGTAGTGATGGTGGCATAAGGAGAATCAGTTGGGTTAAGCCAGGCTTACTGCAGGGTCAGCACAAACCTTTTAGTTTTCCCATTTGAACATCCCATGTGGGCTCTCTGGTTTATAGATTTGTTTTTCTTTTTTTTGTTGTTTTGTTTTTGTTTTTTTCGAGACAGGGTTTCTCTGTGTGGCTTTGGAGGCTGTCCTGGCACTCGCTCTGGAGACCAGGCTGGTCTCGAACTCACAAGAGATTCGCCTGCCTCTGCCTCCCAAGTGCTGGGATTAAAGGCGTGCGCCACCAACACCCGGCTGATTTATAGATTTCTAATTGTGATATTTCTGCCTTCTTCCCCTAAACCACACATCACTCCAGGTTCTTTGGAAAAGAAAGCAAAGAGCAGTTTTCGTGACTTCATCCCTGTGGTTCTGAGCACTCGGACACGCAGTCAGTCTGGTGAGTAAGACTAAGGACTAAGAGTAAAACCCTGCCTTGGCTTCTTTGAAAAGGTAGACATGTGGGTTGAATGATTTTGCCATCGGTGCAAGTAGACAGTTGGGATTTTGCTTCCCTGGGCTAAAATGGCAGACTCCTTAAAGGGACACGAGAGTCCTGGGTGGGGGCAGAGGGATCATCTACAATTTTAGGCAGTTTGCTTAGCTATGTTAGATTAGGGGTTTGACACTATCTCTTAAGAGCCAGTGATGGAAAGAAGAAAGGCCCCTGCTGCTCAGGAAATTTGTTTGCATTCCAAAGTTTTGCATCTCATTATCATTGGGGCCCATCTCAAATACAGAAATCAACCTTTAGGCTTTAATCTCATCACCCTATGTGATAGGAATTACCAAAATTGGAAAGGCCATTGAATGTTCTGGGCAGGCACAATAGCTTTTGGTCCACTGACCTTGTCTAGGGTCTAAAGAAGATAGTTTCCAGCTTGTGTTCATTTCTGCTGGCTCTCTCTTGGTACACAGAACAGAGATGGTTGCCTCCATTCACCCAGATTTCCTTGCAAATTGGAAGGAATGGAGAAACATGGCCCAATGAAAAAAGTCAGTGATCTGACATCCTGTTAACTGGCACCTCAGCACATGGCAAGCTCTATGGTAATTGAGGCTTATAATGATGGCCTGGAGGCCTTGAAAAGTCCTTAAGTGTCTTCTGAATCATCAAAGAGCGATTACATTATGGCCAGTCCCATTTTTGTGTTAAACACATTGTGCTGTGTTTGATTCTTTGGAAATTGGTGATTTCTGTGTGATCTCTATGGTGATTCTGTATTAAACATAATATTAGATTAACTAGAACACTCTGTTCTCTGTCTGGTCCATATAATGCAAACTTTAGTGGGGTAGTCGCTATCTTTAAGCAGTCTGACCAACTTAAGCTTTGGGCAAGGGCAGCTTTTTCCCTCTAACCATTTCTGTCTCCTGCTGACCTCACTGGGGTTGAGGGCTTTGTTGAGTTAACAGCTGGGCTTTCGGAGAAACATGGTAGTGTTGCTTCTTAAGGAAGCTGTTAGATCTCTACAGTGTAAAACCAGACCAATTTAGAATTGTGCTTTTATTGTTAGCAGAGTTAAGGGTAAGTGAGGAGAGAGAACATAGCCTCTTGGCAAGGTGGCCCAGGAGAGTAGGAGAGATGCTATTTGTCCCAGGGTGATCAGGAGTGTGTGTGTGTGGGGGGGGTGCTTTCCCAGCAGCAAGGAAGAGCTGCAGTGGATGGGCAGATGGACTAGAGAGAAAACTCCACCCTTGAACTTCTGGCTACTCTGTAGGAGGTGGGATCAGTTTAATGGAAACAGCCCTGCTGTGTTCTATTGGGGCATGCCTGAGTCAGGCTGTGTCATAGGAAAGAGACTCCTTGCTTCTCTGTTAGAGATACTCTTCTTTTGTGATGATTCTGCTTGGTCAGGGTAGCTCTATTGGCCATAGTGGTGGAACCAGAGAGTTATCGGGGCCTAAGTTCTAATACCAGAGTTATCGGGGCCTAAGTTCTAATACCAGGCTTCCTTACTCCCTTGCCTTCAATTCAGATCATCTTAACAAGCAGAGAACTGTAGCTCTCTCCTACCCTTCATGCTATGTTTAGCTGCTGTATAAACACTAAGCAATGTTTTTGTGAAATGAATTCAAGTGATTGTGTCATGGGTGAGTAAGGATGGTTTTTAGTACTTCATAATTGTATGCTATTTTGGACCCTATAAAGTAAGTACTTCAGACTGAAAGACGTCATTTGAGCCCCAGAATTGTCCTTTGAGGTAAATGTACCACCAGTAACTGACAGAGCCTGAACTTGAACTCAGGTCTATGAATTCCTACCCCAGGACAGTTGTATCAGTACCATACTTAATCCCTTGAAGAAGCACCTGAAAGTCTTCTGTCCATGTCATCCGCAGGAAGCATCTGTAGCTCCTTTGCTGGTATGGCAGACAGTGACATGGGAAACCAGGAGGTCTTCCCTACAGAGGAAGAGGAGGAGGTGTCTCCCACCCCAACTAAGAGGAGAAAGGTGAGAAAGACCCAAAGGGACACCCAGTACCGCAGTCATCATGCCCAGGACAAGACCCTGCTGAGCCAAGGCCGCAGACATCTGTGGCGAGCCCGAGAGATGCCCTGGAGGACAGAGGCTGCCCGGCAAATGTGGGACACCAATGAAGAGGAGGAAGAAGAAGAAGAAGATGAGGAGGAGGAGGGCCTGATGAAGAGAAAGAAACGGAGACGACAGAAGAGCAGAAAATACCAGACTGGGGAGTACTTGACAGAACAAGAAGAGCAGCGGCGGAAAGGGAGAGCAGGTAAGATTGGCCGTGGGACTCTCATTCCTGTTGTGAAGTCAGCTGGGAAGCTTCAGGCACAGTGGCATTCATACCACCTATTCACCAATTCACCAGTTGAAGGCCTTAGGACTGATAGGAACCTGGCGCTATGGTCTTCAGCTGTCACAAGGGGGTCACTCAGGTCCACCTGGAGTATGTGGCTTTGAATCTAGAAGGAATGAATTCAAACTAACCTACAGGAAAGCTGGGGACGTGGGGACCCTTGCCTTTTGGTTTCTTGCAGACATCTGAACCTGTGGTCCATGCCATGGTGATATTCTTGGCATGGGCCAGTGTTATACTAGGGAGTTCTGGTTGGCTTGAGTCAAGTCGTTGGAGAATATAGGTTCTCTCTTTTGTAATCTTGGGTTTAAAAAGAAAGAGGAACCAGGTGTGGTGGTATAAGCCTTGTCCTCAAAGCACTCAAGAGGTTGAGGTGAGAGGACAGTGAGTTTGAAGCCACCCTGGCTTACATAGTGAGACCCTGTCTCAAAAGAAATAAGGAAGGCAGTAGCTGTCATACCTGGGATGCCTCTGCTCATAAACCAACATGGAATATTCCCTAAAGGCAACAGAAAAACGTGAAATAGGTAAACCTGATTTCTCAGTTAAAGCCACAGGAGCTTTTTAGAGTCTGAGCAAAGTCTTGAGGTGACATACATAGCAGAGTGTTTGTTGGTCCTGAACTGTGAAAGCAGGCAGTTCAGAAAGAAAACCTTCTGTGGCCATGTCTAAGGACATGTCTAAGGACACAAGCCAGTATCCTTCATTTAGTACAGTTTAGGGCAGTTCCCATAGTGGGTTTTTAATGGAACAAAAAGCTCATCTCTGGATTCCATAGGAACATGTTTGCCTTTCCTTATTTTCTGACAGCGCCCCTGGAAGCAACAATCAATTGTCTCTTACAGTATATTTACTTTGAGCTGCTGATAAATATGTATAGTCCCCTTATTAGCTAAAACAAAAGCAGCTCACATTGAGTAGGCAGTAGATCCTGGGTGTACTATGATGCAAAGAAGGCTTAACCTCATTTCTGACTCTGTAAGTGGAGATATTTATACATGATACCTATCCCTACACTTGAGGGTAATTGAGCTCATTTTCATCAACTATCTGAACAAGTGGGGCAATTTTCCCCTTCTTTTGCCAGAACCGTAATGGATTGGTCATGAATGAGTTGTCAAACCATTGGCCTCCGCCTCTTGTTACGATGATGAGAAGCTTTTGTATCACCCAGTCCTCTCTAATGAAGGTTGCTTTCCTAGCTTGGGAGTTTCTCATTGAGTTATCAGCTCTTTCTTTTTATTTTTCTTCTTTTTTGCTTTTTTTTTGGAGGGGGTCTCTTTATTATGTAGCTCTGGCTGTCCTGAAAATCTCTATGTAGACTAGATTGGCCTTGAACTCACAGGGGTCTGCCTGCCTCTGCCTCCCAAGTGTTAGGATTAACAGGGTGTGCCACTACTCCCAGCTTGAGTTATCAGCTCTTTCAATCAAAAGGATCTCTTTGGAGTTGCTTGGTCCCATTTGTTACCTAGTACACACATAGAGAAGTTGCCACAGCATTGTGATAGGGACTTTGCTAGCCTTTTCTAGAACATCTACAGTAAACATGGAGAACACCAGTGATCAAGGCAAACAAGGCTGCTTGTTTGCAGGCAGCCAGGACTGTTGAAAAGTAGATTGTTCTTGGGTATGTCTGGGAGCTTTGCATTGAGGCCACTGGTGTTGGCACATCTCTTTATGCAGAAATTTCTTTTCTAAATATATTTTTATTAATTTGAGGGGATTTCTTTTTTTTTGTTGTTGATGAGTACTTTCCTTGTATGTCTGTCTGTTCACCGCATGTGTGCAGTTCCTGAGGAGGCCAGAATAGGGCATGGTATCCACTGGAACTGGAGTTACAGATAGTTGTGAACCCATGTGGGTGCTGGGAATAAAACCTGTGTCCTGCAAAAGCCTCTAGTGCTCTTAACCACCGAGCCATCTTTCCAGCCCATGTGGGAATTTCTCAACAGCCATCTCGCTCCTCAGAAAGCTCCAGTCTCCCTTACCTACTTACTATCTGGCTTTCAGCTCAATGTCAGAGAAGTAGGAAATGGACCAACTAAGCAGATCACCCTATTCCTATCGAATTCTCATAACGTCTCCTTTCACTCTGTGCTTGGTTGACTGGTTACATGTGCAGCAGCAAATGAGACACTCTGCCTCAATAGAAGGTGAAAGGACAGGACTGACACCTGATGTTGACCCCGACCTCCATATGCTCACTGTAGCACACATGTGCCCACACTCATACACAACTGCATACGTATACATCCACACATACAAACCATACAACTCTATTGTTAATAGACACAAGGGAATGGTTTATGTCACCTATACAAGAGATTTAGGACAGATCCTATGATGTGAGGCTCTTGCTAGTGGAGTTTGTAGCAGACCTTTTTGAAATTAACAATTCTAGATACAGATGTTGCCATGTACCAGTGATACCAGTGACTTTCAATCAAGGAAGACAGTAGCTTTCTGCCATTACACTTAAGGATGCCCATAACACCTTCTGGACTGGGGAATTTCTGTTGCGTTGATCTTGGTGTCTTCAGACAGTGATAAACAGGACAGTTAGTTGGGGAGAACTGAGATAAAGTCAGCCTTCTACTTTGATCTTACATCCCACTGTACTTGACACTTCAGCAAAACTGCTAAATTGGTTTTCATTTTGGAGAAAGAAAGGGGATGAAGAAAAGGCTGAAAAGAGATTCGGGTTTGATCTGGGCTATGGGGAGATCTTTTTAAATGACCCACATTTGGGGAGCCAGCCAGATCGGCTGCCTCCTGCTGGCAGGGCTGGGAACTGTTTCTTGAGGATAGAGGAGGGATTTGTATGGCAAAGCTCTGAAGGATGGTGTTCCATTTGTCTTACAGTCATTCTTTCCTGTTTCTTGTTCAGATTCAAAGGCCCGTAAGCAGAAGACTTCCTCCCAAAGTTCAGAGCACTGCCTCAGGAACAGGAACCTTCTCTTGACCAGCAAAGCCCAGGGGATCTCGGACTCACCAAACGGTTTCCTCCCTAATAACCTGGAGGAACCAGCCAGCCTTGAAAATTCAGAAAAGCCATCAGGAAAACGAAAGTGCAAAACTAAGCACATGGCAAACGTCTCAGAAGAGGCAAGGGTGCGTGGTCACCAAAGAGATCAATGTGGGGGTGGGGCATATGGGCTATACATTTTTCTCCACTCCCCTTCCCTCCTCCTCTCTTCCCTTCTACACCCCCCCCCTCCTGCCTATGCTCCCAATTTACTCGGGAGATCTTGTCTTTTTCCCCTTCCTAGGCGAATCCATGTATGTCTCTCTTGGGGTCCTCTTTGTTACCTAGGATCTCAGGGTTGTGGTCTGTAGTCTGCTTGTCCTTTATATGCACTTATGAGTGACTACATACCCTGTTTGTCTTTCTGGATCTGGGTTACCTCACTCAGGATGGATTTTTCTAGTTCCATCCATTTGCCTGCAAATTTCATGTCATTGTTTTTTACTGCTGAGTAGTACTCCATTGTATAAATGTACCAAACTCTCCTTATCCATTCTTCAGTTGAGGGCATCTAGGTTGTTTCCTGGTTCTGGCTATTGCGAGTAATGCTGCTATGAACATAGTTGAGCAAATGTTCTTGTGGTATTGTGGAGCATCCTCTGTGTATATGCCCAAGAGTGGTATAGCTGGGTCTTGAGGTAAATCTATTGCCAATTTTCTGATTTCCAAAGTGGCTCTACAAGTTTACACTCCCACCAGCAATGGAGGAGTGTTCCCCGTACTCCACACGAGAGGCAGACTTTCTACCAGGTACCTCTAGAAGTAATTTCCTCAGTGAGGGTGAAGGGAGCAAGTAGGGGAGATCAACTGGTATGTGCCAAAGTATTCTAAACTAGTTTTAGAAGGGTTGGCACAGATTTGAAGACTAGAAACAAAAGCTATATCTAACTATATGGTTTGACCCCTGATTTCTTTTCCCCAATAATCTTTGTATCTCCTTTGAGTTACAGTATGGTGAAAGGGTATGGCAGGGGGCTATCCTGATTTGTAACATCAATCAAGAAGCTTTTGTCTGAGTTTAACTCACTAGACACTTGTCATGGAGCTTTCTGAGACAATCAAGGTAGAATACAACTTGTAAGAAGCCAGGATTTTGTTCTCCAGACCAAGGTTTTTTGAGGGTCCAGGTTAGCTGCTACCCTCACCCTGTGCCCTGTTCTTTGCCTCTGGAGGAAGCCTAGGTTGGGTGCTCACCAGTTAGTCAGGCAAGCATTCTTTGAATCTTTTTCAAAGTCACCAGTTCATTTGGTTCTGAAGTTCATAACAACTGGTGTTGGTGTCAGATTCTTCAAGGTACCACTAAAGAAAATAAGACAGTCCTCATGTTAGGTGACTTTTACATTTAAAGGAAGTGAAGATCCAGTGTGTACCTGATAGGTATCTGTCATTGACAGCCCAAAATCAAAAGGCCACATTGGGCTGGTTTGGTTAGTTACGATTCTTACCCTTCTGTCTAGCTTTCAAGTAGGAATTCCCGAGTGATACTAGCAAAGAAAGGATGGATGCTTGCCTTCCCCCACCGCTTCTTCCTCCCTCCTTCATTGAATCCTAGTTGCAGTTTAGACAAGACACTCAAGTCTATTTGCTCATCTTTAAAAAGGGAGCCAATGCTCCTTGCCCTTTCTGTCTCACAAGGGTGCTTACAGGGAACAAAGGAAGCAATGTCTGTGACAGGCTTTGATAACCATAAAATGTTCTCTGAGGGCTGGTATGCATCCTTGCACTTCAGACAGAGACGGGAAGGAGAGAACCAGAGGTACAGCATGACAAACTGTAGCCTGGTGTGGCAGGATGTCCGTTCCCTGCAACACATAGATTATGAGAAAGATAGGTGCCCACTGAAGAGTACAGAAACCCGATTTGCACTAAGAGCATCTTTCCTGTTGTCGCTCTTTGTTTTTAATATATGTGTTCGTGTCATGGCATGTGTATACATTCATGTGTATAAATGCAGATTCATGTTATAGCACAAGTGTGGAGGGCAGAAGACAACCTTGACTTGTTTGAGAAATTATCTTTGTTGTTTTCCTGCTACACACACTGGGTGAGCTGGCAGGAAATGTTCTGTGGATTCTTCTGTTTCTACCTCCCATCTTCCCACAGAGTGCTGGGCTTATAGGTACTTGTGCCACAACTCCAGATTTTGTATGGATTCTGGGGATTCAAACTCAGGTCCTCATGCTTGGATGGCAATTGCTTTTACTTGCTGAGCCGTATCCCAGCTCTCCTGTCACTTGTAATTCCTGAGTGTTTCTTGGAGGTAGGCACTTGTATTCTAGTCATTTAAAGGACTTGTATGAGGTGACTCAGTGGTCCTGCTTGCCAGAATCAGGACATGAAACACATTTGTCTGCCTCAGGGGGAGCTCTGGTCAGTGTGCCTTGCAGTCTCTGAATAGGTGCTTTCTGCCTATTTCTGGGACATCTCTGGGTAGTGGCTAAGTAGACAGAAAACACTGTCATCTTGAAGCAGTTTTGAGAGAGAGAGGTCCCAGGGTCTTGCTGCCTCCTCCCCATATTTCCTGGACACTCAGATGGCCCTATCCCACACAAAGGTAGCCAGCCGCTTGCCACTCAGCAGCACACTCTTACGCTTCTGTCTGGTTCTGTCTGGCAATGTGTCTGCTAAAACGTTCTTGTGGAGAGGGTTTTGTCTCTCCCCAGGGCCTCCCTTTCTCCCTCCCGCCTTTCTTTCTCTCCCAGTCATTACCACCTGCTCCAGTTGCCCCCATGGCACGGGGCTTTGTAGTAGGAAGCAAGGCAGGGGGAGGATTGGGGGATGATCCTGCAACACTAAAGCGGGGCATTGGCCAAGGGCTTCTTCCCACAGGGGCTCGGAGCCAGGGGGAAGAGGAGAGGGGGAGGGGTCTCCCTACTTGTTCTCACTCCTCCCCCTCTCAGGCAGCCTTCTTGCTTGCTCTAGCAGCCTGGCCTCCAGAAACTTATCCTTTGGAGCCTGGCTTAGCTTACTATCATATCCTTATTGGTTGGTGCTTTCTTGCTAGGGACTGTACCTCCACCCCTATTAGTTTTCGTGGAAACTGATCATTCCTTCTTATGATCTTCAGATCTACCAGATTCCCTGAACCTGCTTCTTTTGTCTTAGTGTACCTTTCTTGACTTTATGTAACTCTCTAGGTAACTTTTCTGACTACTCAGGGCTTTGTACTCAGACGGACAGCTTGGATCAAGTCAACACATAATTGTGACTGATGATGTACCCAGCTATGACTTTAGTGCTGGAAGCATTAAAAGAGAAGGTGACAGACAGTATGAACTGTGCCCCTAATGGCATAAGAACTAACCAGAGAGCCAGGCATAGAGGGTAAAGAAAGGCTGAATGATCCCTGAGTTGGAGGTCAGCTTAAGAAATGTAGTGAGACACAGTCCTAAAGAACATTTAAAAAGAAAAGAAAGCCTTACTAGGGGATGCAAGGCTTACCCATAGAAAACAGCAAGAAAATAAAGAAGTGAGGTGTCAGACCATACGATTGTAAGTATGCTCTGGATATGCAGAAAGAGGCTTTGGGGCTAGAGTGTTGTAGAATATTGTAGAAGACATAGCTTAAGTGAAATCTTGATCTGAGGGCTTTGAGTAAATATATGTGTAAGCTCGATTGTGGCATAATAGATTACTCTAAAAATCTAGTGGCTCTACACAACAATAAGCATATGTCTCATAGTTTCTGGAGCCCAGGAATTCAGGAGCACCTTAGCTGAGCCCAGTGTGGGGTTTTACATGAGGTTTCAGTCAAGGTGTTAGGGCTACGTCTATTTGAAGACTGGGAAGCTGTGCTTCCAGTGTAGTTCGTGCACAGGGCTGGCATGATGCAGCTGGCTATTGGCAGAAGGTCTCTTGTCCTTTCCTCATGGGTCTCCCCAAAGGGCTGCTGGCTTTCCCCAAAGAAACTGATTTGAGAGAGAACCATACAGGAACCACAGCATCTTGGGGCCTGGCCTTGCAAGTTACACTCCCCCCTTTGTAGTCTCCTATTGATTACTTAGATGAGCCTTATCCTGTGTGGAAAAGGAGCGACATAAGAGCTTAACTGTCAGAGGTAGGGTCCTCAGGGTCCATTATGGTGGCCACTGCCTTAGTCATAATTCTGGCTTCTAGTAGATTCATGTCTCTCTTGTATGCCTGCTGTACTTAAATCCTGCTAACCTCCCTCGGTTATCATTCAGTTTCATATCTTAGACTTGCAGCCATATGCAGCTGAGGCTGCTTCCATCTTTGAATACAGTGGTTCCTTGAATACAGTTACTTCAACACAGTTATTGCTCATCTAGAACTCAAGTTTGACATACAAGTGACCTGTAAAAGTACAGACCAAGAAAAGTACAGGAGAACAAACATAGGAACCTTCTATGTCCCTTCAATTCAAAATGGGGGCAAAAGGAAGCACCCATGGGTCACTTCTGAGGACAGAACTCTTAGAACATTGTGGTCCATTGCCTTTGTAGTAGTTTGTTATCTCAAAGGTCCTCCAAGGGAGAAAGTAATGCTCAGAGGAGTTAGGCTGCACTTCAGGTGTGGTAACTGGTAGATGGCAGAAGCAAACTTCAACCCCAGCCCTGTCTGGTTCCAGAACCTCACAATCCACTGGCCTGAATGGGCCTGAACATAATCTTAGGCCATGGTGTGATGAAAGATGGGGAAAGCCTGTAAGGTTGGGTATGGGGCATGTTTAGACAACCAGAGTGAAGGTATTGAAAATTGTGGCCAGTCAGGCTGCTGTCTCTTGTGTTTCTTTGTTCTTATTATGTACAGACACTGCTTATCCAAAACCTCAACAACAGGTAGAAGACTCATGCCAGGTGCTTTAGAGAAGCTCGGCTGTCTCTGCCCAATGTTGAGTCCTCCTGCCATGCCATGGTTTGTGGGACTGAAGATCTTACACTTTTAACATCCACCCCTGGAAATGTAGAAGCCTTCTTCGTTTTGAAAATGACCTTACATGGCTAGTGACTAGCCTAGCTTCCAGTCTCCAAGCTGACACTGGGCCGCTTGGCACACTGTCAGTAAAGTACAACATGAGTGCAGATGCTGAGGGGGCTCTGGCACGGCCATGATGAGTTGTATATGCTGCCTGGCTTGACCTAGAACTTCCTTTTTTCTTTCTAGAGCAAAGGTCGTTGGAGCCAGCAGAAGACACGATCTTGCAAATCTCCCTCTCCAGTGAAGCCCACAGAACCATGTACACCCTCCAAAACCCGAAGTGCTGGCCCAGAAGAGGCCTCAGAGTCACCCACTGCCAGACAGATCCCCCCAGAGGCACGGAGACTCATAGTAAACAAAAATGCTGGGGAGACCCTCCTGCAGCGAGCAGCTCGCCTGGGCTATAAGGTGAGTAAGAGCTCCCTGAGTGACAGGCAGTGACAGGATGACATTGGCCTGGACCTCAGGGAGGAGCAGCTATGCCAATGGCTCCTCTGGGGCCCAAGTCTGGCTGGTCTCCCTCTACTGTCTACATTGCCTCTGAGGCTGCTTCGCCCCTTGTCTTATCTCAGTATGTGGGAAGGTAAGCTCATTGAAAAGTCAACTCAGGATAAATGCAATTGAAATAGTAGCATAATATCATCTCGCTACGTCCCTAGACTAGCAAGGAAGGGGATTTTGGAATTTTTACTTTGCCTTAGCTTGCCTGTGTAGTGGTTCCTCCAACCAAAAGGAACATGGAGGTGATAATCGTTCACACTGTTATCTCCTGTAGTTTCTCCTCATTTTGACTTTCATGTAGAAGGGCCAAGAGCATGTTCAATAAACAAAGCCAGAGCTAATTCCCCTTCTTTATACATGGGAAGGAAGACAAAGAAAGCAGTATCTCTTGTCATTTTAAGGACTTTAATGTAAGCCTATTGAGGTTGATCTTATTGTAAAGAAAAGTCTAGAGTTAGCAATATTAAATGATATGACAGCATGTGTGTAGTGGATTCCCCTGGTAGGAATCCCAACCCCTGGGAAGTAGAGGTAGGCAAACCTCAGCTACATAGTGAATTCAAAGCTAGCCTGAGTTACCTCTGATTACCTAAAAAATAAAATAAAAATTAAAAAACCCCACCTGGCAGTGGTGGCACATGCCTTTAATCCCAGAACTCAAGAAGCAGAGGCAGGTGGATCTCTGTGAGGTCAAGTCCAGCCTGGTCTCCAGAGCTAGTTCCAGGACAGCCAGGGCTACACAGAGAAACCCTGTCTCAAAAGACAAAAAATAAAACCCATAAATTGTGTCGTCTGAGTTCAGAAAATCTTGATTTGCAAGTGCTGAGGAGTGGAAGGACTCCTTATTTACCCAATGAAATTGACCTGAGGCTCAATGTTGTTGGAGTGCATTTTCATCCTTTTCTACTTTTGGTTGACACAAATACACTTGACTATGTATCTTTGCCTCCTCCATGATTTCCTCGGGATTTACTTGTGGATGTGAACTTAACTGCATTCCAGAGTTGGCCTTCATACCTATAAGTGTACAGACTGCTCTGAGCATGGGGTCCCTATCAAGCAGCCGCTTTACCTTTCTTGAATACTTAGTGTGGGCATCTGCATAACTCTCAGGGAGATCTGAATGTGCACTGATCACCAATGCAACAGGCACATATTGGAGAAGCAGAGACCAGAGCTGGCACTTGGTCTGGGCAGGAGTGGGCACACCTATATTAGTGAGGGCATAGGAGTTCTACGTAAAGGTGGCAGAGTGCTTTCTGTATGCAGGCAGCAACAGCCATAGCCCAGCCCCACAGTAGCTTTCTCCACCTGCAAGTGTTGACAGCAGAACAATGGTGGATACCACATTCTGGAAGCCAGTGAGTCAATGACACTGCCAGCCTCCATCCCAGTTTATTCATAACCTTGTCTTAGTCTAGCAGGAATGCCTCAAGTCATTTGAGTTCTACATCTGGTCTTGTCACCTTGTCACCTCAGCCCGTGGAAGGTAGGCATGACCTGAGGCTGAGTGACAGAAATGTATTGTGGGGCTGGAGACATAGCTCAGATGCTTTGCCTGGAAAGCACAAAGCCCTGGGCTCCATTCCCAGCATGGCATATGTTGGGTGGAGTGGTACATGCCTGTAAGCCATGTACTCCGGAGGCAGAGATAGGAAGATCTGAAATTCAAAGTCATCCGTGGCTACATGGGTAGTTTAAGGCCAGCCTGGGACCTTGTCTCAAAACAAGGAAACAAAATGGAAGTTGTGCTTGGTGCAGTGACTGGAATGTATGACCCTGTCAAGAACAGGCCTCCCCATTGGTGTCTCGTAAAACTCACAAACATGAGCTCTGGGCAGCAGGGATCACCATCTAGATGAAATCTCTTCCTCCTGTCAAGGGAACAGCTCAGAGATGGGTGGGGCCCTGGCAGTGGAGACCGAGGGTTGACTTTGTTCACAGGGGATATTGAAATGTATCTTTTGTTCCCTCATATAGAGGACAGGCTATGAGACTTGTCAGACACTTGTGGAGTCTAACAGGGATGACTCCAAAAATCAGACTTCTCTTTGCTCACAGAGCTGTCCCCATCCCCACAGGACGTTGTTCTCTACTGCCTCCAGAAGCATAGTGAGGATGTGAATCACCGTGACAACGCAGGCTACACAGCCCTGCACGAGGCCTGTTCCCGGGGCTGGACTGATATCCTCAACATCCTCTTGCAACATGGGGCTAATGTGAACTGCAGCTCTCAGGATGGCACAAGGCAAGAAAGCTGTTCCTCTGCTAAGTCTCAAACCTCAGTTCAGTTCTTCACTGTGGAGGTCTTACTCCAGCCTGGATATTTGCAGCATGTCCAGCTGCTAGCGTCAAAAAGGCCTTACCAGGAAGCCTTTTGAAAGGATTTCTGTGGGCTGAAGAGAACCAGCTTAGGGCAGGAGCTAATGAGTTCCTCGGTGGTCAGTCCATACTGGACTCAAAAAAGGCTGAGGTTCTCCAGGGTTCATCCTGTGCCATGCCAGGTCCACTCAACCTTCCTGAATGTCATCCTGGTGGGCCACTTGTCTCATGTGAATTGATGCCTTAGGGTGCTCAGGGAGCTAATCTTGGGGTGACATTCCAGATTTGGTTTTGTAATTTGGTCTCTGTGCACTTAAACAATGAGCTACCTGGGTGTGGGAGATTGGCTTGGTATGTAAAGGCACTTGCCATCAAGCCTGGCTATCTTGAGTTCCCATGATGGAAGGAGACAGCTGATTCCTGCAAGTTGTCCTCTGACTTCTGCACACATATATTCATGCGCGCGCGCACGCGCGCACACACACACACACACACACACACACACAATAAATAAATAAATAAGTACATGCAATAACATGTCAATGCACACACAGTGACAAGCATAAATACTTGCTGTGTTTGGAGAAGTTAAACCAACTCTCCTCAAAGGACCTACTTCAGGAAGGTTTCAAGGGTTCAAGGGATGCTGCATACCAAGTAGAAGGACCCAGATCAAAATGTACAGGCTCTGCTTGGCTGCCACCTGGTATGGGAGCCTCCCTACACATCCCTGCCCTTGAGCAGTCGTCTGGGTCCTTCTTCAAAAACCACCCTCATTTAACTTCCACCGGGGACCTGTTCTCTGCTGAACCAGTAGTAGATCTACATTGTGCTCTAGATGCTGTCCGAAGATGCAGGGGGGACATTAAGGAGAGAGAGAGAGACATGGAGAAGAAAAAGAAGATAATGTCATGGTCAGATACAGTAAAAGTTGCAGGACAGAGGTGGCTTCTCTGCTCTAAATCTTACCCATGTTGCATTGTGGGTACCCCGAGGTCACTATGGTATTGTGTCACCCCCCTCCTCCTAATATGGTAGCCCAAAGCCTAAAATTTTCCCCCATTGAGTCCTGTCTCACTGACCCTATTCTGACCTCCACAGGCCAGTTCATGATGCTGTGGTCAATGACAACCTGGAGACCATCTGGCTCTTGCTATCGTATGGAGCTGATCCCACACTGGCTACCTACTCGGGTCAGACAGCCATGAAGCTGGCCAGCAGTGATAACATGAAGCGCTTTCTCAGTGGTAAGCATAGAGCATAGAGCAGAATTGCAGCCAGTATCCTCAGGTTGGCCTTGGACTCCTCAGCCTGTGGTGGTGGTGGTGGCAGCGGCGGCAGCAGCAGGGGGTTGGGGTGAGGAGAGGCTCTTCAGTAACTGTCCTAGACAGCCCCCATGAAGGGTGTCCACCCTCTCCACATATTCCTTCACTGTCGCTGGAGTCTCCATCTATTTTAAAAAGGCCCTTGCTTTTCACTACCTCTGTTAGGTCCTAACCTCCTACAGGGAGGCCTTCCAGTGGGAGACTGGCTATACTCTTATCTGGGAGCAAGATATGTTGACAGGTGCTCTGAATGCAGTGGCACTGGTAGAGAACAGATAATCCCCATTTTGCTGTCTCTGCCATCTCTCCTTGATTGTAATTCACATGGTACCTCTGAGACCCTTTCTGAAGCTTTATTCCTCATGGCCCTTCTCCCATGGTAACTTTGCTATTCCTTGTTGTGCATTCCAGTATTCCCCTTCTCTCCATTCTTTCTTCTCTCTTCCTCACACTCCATCTTCTAGTGGCATGTCTTGTTCAGGCCTGTGGCCAGAGCCAGAAGCCACTGCACTGATTTTCCTCCCTAGTCAGTAGCACTGAGTGCCTGCAGGTAGGCAGGTTACTCTGCCTGAGTTGGGCAGGTGGACGGAGGAATGAAAGAGGGGAATCTAGTTGGATTATGCTGTCAGTCCCTTCTGACTTTATCTCAGGGCATTAGAACCTTCAACTTTTTGTGACAGCATGGCTTAATCCTTGAGATTGCCTGAGTGATAGATGCTGTACTTGGGATTTGCAGCTGTGACCCTCATCACAGGCTTCAGCTGTGGTAGAACAGTCTGTTCCATCCTGCCACCTAAGCTTTGGCCCCATTAGTCACCAACTACCCCTATCAGGGTGCAGTCAGTATTCAGTTCCCAGGTAGGGAGTCATGCTTCCTTAAGACAGGTTTGCTGAATAGCTATTAACGGAGGAAGTAAGAGAAACTACTTAAGGTTCTCACGGAAGGGGAAAGAGGTGGGCAATACTACCTTTATATTGTAGAGGCTACAGGGAGGAGACGAGGGGATGACAGGTTGCCTGGGGAGGTTTTGACTTGAGCCCAGCCAACCTCCAGACAGGCCCTTCAGTCTGACTTACCTCGGGCTGGGGGACTGGAAGCTTCCTTTTCCATTTCTTTTCCTTTGCTCTAGGTCCTTGAGCATCTGGTCATTAGGAGACATCAGCCACTTAAGGATTTCTTTTCATTAATTAACCTGGTTCAGTGATGACTGGTACTCACTTTAGCAGAGCCACCCCAAGGGTACAGCATCCTTCCACATGTGCACTGTCTTAGATGCTGGCATGGCCCTTTTGCACTCTGGATTCCCAGGACCATGTATGGACCAACATCTAGAGTAACTAACATTATAATGAAGGCTTTGTGTGGGAGGGGAACTCTCTGGCTAGAAATTGCTCTCTACAAAGTAGAGGTCAAGTAAAGTAATATTTCTAGTTAGTTTATTGAGTAAATGAACTCTCTTTTCTTTCCTGACCTCTTCTCTAAAACTCCAAAGGGGTTTAAAATTTGATACTCTTTTGTTTTTGGTTTTTGAGGCAGGGTCTACACAGCCATGCAAGTCTTAGAACTTGCTATGTAGACCAGACTGTCAGAGATCTGCCCAAGTCTGCTTCCTGAGTGCTAGGATTAAAGGCATGCGCCTCTACACCTAGTTGACACTTTTTATTGGCTAAAAAGAACACTTCTTCCCTTTTATTTCTACAAATTCATCCCATTCTCTTAGGTAATCTTTTTAAAGGGCTTTTTGAGACAGAGTCTCACTATGTGGTTCTGATTGGGCTGGAATTTCTATGTACACCAGGGAGGCCTCAAACTCAGAAATCTGAGGCTTTCTCTTAAATAACATCTACCTGCCTTTGCCTCCTGAATGCTAGGATTAAAGGTGTGTCGTCAGGCTTGCGCAGCAAGAACTTCTATCCACCAAGACATCTCACTGACATATAGCTAGCAATTTGACACCCCCTTTCCTAACTAAAGTGCTTGTTGGTGCTGTAGAATCCAGAGGAGACTTCTCTAAACTCTAGTATTCTTGCTAATGTGGGCAGAGCATCTTCATTCAGGGCTTGGCACATGTTTCCTTATTCATGGGTAGGGAGGTTATGCTCCAAGGAATTGTTAACAGACTGGGGCAACACTTCTCCATGTAAGGGGAGGGATCTTGTTATTAGGGAAAGTTCTAGCAGCCTAGACCTTGACATAATCCTCCAGTGGAGGCAGGCATTTGTAGGAGTCAGCAGGTTCCCCAGGCAGGGAGAACTTAGGCTCCAAAACTCTTCTGATGAAAGGGTGATAAACAGAGCTTTTTAAAAAATGTCATGTGTGATAGCTGTGTGTGGTGGCACACAACTTAAGTCCAGCACCAGCCAGAGGCAGGAGGCTAAGGTAGGAAGATTGCTGCGACGGCAAAGCTGTCCTGGGTTACATAGTGAGTTCCAGGCTAGCCCATACTACTTGGGTGAACAGCAAGACCCTGTGTTAAAAAAGGAAATGGAATTCATCTAGTGTCACAGAGTTCAAGTGGCTAATTCAGTGACATGGAGTGCATTCATGTTGAGTAATCATCATTGGGGGCTGTCGGTGACTCAGAGTGAGCATTGAGTCTCTTGTCTTTCATCCCTGGATAATACCTCACTGGTTCTCCAGGAAGCACAAGGTAGAGGGCCAGATGTTCACAAGGCGGGAGAGTAGGGAATCACTCTTCTGATGCTAGACTGCATATCTAGGTACATATGCATGGAATTCGAATGGATTTATTTATTTATTTGGGCCTTTTGAGATGGAGGTTGTTTTGGTTTTTTGATTTCAATTTCAGCTCACCTGTCTGGCTGCGACATTTAAAAGTGCTCTCCTTTTCATCTTCAAGCACTTGCTTGGCCAGGTGCTCCAGAGATGAGTTGACTTCATCCTCCCCTAGCAGACGCCTCACAACAGACAATGAAGCAAAGCTATGTGGGGTGCTAAGGGCTCCTTTTCTGTGGTCGTCTGACTTGCACCTCATGTATTGCTTTTCTCACTGTGCAAGGCTCTGCTTCTGGAATGGTTGCCTGGGACTAAAGTCGTTTAAGTCCCCAAAGGGACAACACTATTTACAGTGTTCCTGGAGTGAGTTAAGTAAAGCAGAGGGTGATGTGGACTTCCTTAAGTTGGGTTGGCTCTAGCCAAGGCCGGTTTCCCCTGAGCTCATGGAGGATAGTATAGCACTAATTCATTTGCTCTTCTGCCCATCCTTTTATTGACCTTCTGAGCTTCTGTTGGGTTCTGGATGCTAAAGGCCAGATAGTAAATCCTTTCTACCTTGTTGTAGGGCTTGGAGTATGGAGCTGTCCAAACCCCCAAGAGATCTTGAAAGGCTTCCCCCTTAGGGCAAATTACAGGCCTTTTACTCTTTTATCATTGACACTGGAAAAAGGAGCAACATCCAATCTAGCTGAGAAGGAAAACACTCCTGTTTTCCCTCCTCCGTGAGCAAGAACTCGGGTTAGAGGGAACTGTGGATTTGGATTGAGGCACTGGAAAAGGTATGGGGACTTCTTTTCCTTTCACTGATGAAACCGTTAGCCTTTGACCATTCAAGGTCACTGAAACACAGATTTTTGTTGTTCCTGTCAGAGACCTCTATGGTGTGACCCCATCTCAAAGACATCTCATTTCTTAGTTTTTCTCCTTTCATGTCCCTCAACCGGTGACTTAGCTGGTCGGTGGGGTGTGATAGAATGCTAGAATCTAGAGAAACTACTGGCTGCCACTCCATACATGGGAACGAGGGACTCTGTACTAACAATGAGGTACTGATGGCCATGTGGTGGTGGCCCATACCTTTAATCCCAGCACTCAGGAGGGAGAGGCAGACAGATCTCTGTGAGTTCGAGTTCTATAGAGCCAGTTATAAGACAGGCTCCAAAACTACACAGAGAAACCCTGTCTCAAAAAACCAAACAAACAAACAAGCATCAACAAAACAATGAGGTACTGAGAGTGCTTTCAGACAAAAGGTGTTGAGGAAAGATTCTTGTAACATCAAATTAATGATCACAAAGTGATCAGTTCAGTGACTTTCAGTACATTTATAGCATTCTCCAGCCACTACTCCTCTCTAGTTCTGAAACGTTATCATTCTCCTGCATAGAACTGTGGACCACCTAAGTATTTGTTTCCCATTACCTCTTCTTCTCTGATTCTAACAGTTATCACTCTGCAATCTTGTCTCTGTGGATTTACCTATTCGAGACTTCATATAACTGGAACACTGCAACCTGCGACTTTTGTGTCTGGCATAATCATGTGGATCATATAGATAGACTAGTGGTTCCATAGTCCATCTATATGCTAGCATATTTCAGGACTGTATTCGTTTTTTAAACCCCTATGGTGTGTGTGGGGGTGTCAGAGGATGAGTTGCGTGAATTGAGTCCGCCCTTCTACCACATGTGGCCCTGGGATTGAAATCATCAGGCTTGAGGCACCTTTACCCACTGAGCCATGTATCTGGCCCTACATTCTTCTTTATGCCTAACCAATAACATGCCTCTGTGTGTGGGGGGGCGGGGGGACAGAGAGAGAGAGATTTATATTATCTGCTCATTCATGCATAGCTATTTGCACTGTGTCCATCTTCCAGCCTGTCAGTGGTGCAGCTCTGATCATACATGCACAAATACTTGTTTGGATTACTCATTGTCAGCTCTCTTGCATGTATACCTAGAAGGGGAGTGGGTAGGCCCAGGGCACATTCTCACACCAAGGATAAAGTCTTGAAAGTTTTGATGGGGGTGGAAGAAAAATAAAAAAAGAAAGGTCACTCATTTTGATGGTACTGCCATCTGAAGAGTGTGCATTAAAGCTACACCATCAAATGACTCCCCCCATGTGTCTGTCACTCATAGGCCTGTTCCAACTTTAGCTTCTTTGCTCATGACAGTTAACTTTGGGCTGTCTCAAAAAGGCAAGTTCACCTGTCCAAGACAAAGCTTTGCAGACAGTGGAGAGAATTAGAGGAATGTGCCCTGGGCTCCGAAGGCAGTTCCTAGTGAGGGGCCCCAGGAATGTGATGAACTTGGCCTGCTCTGATGGAATCCTTGTATGACTCCGGGGTAGGGGGGACAGGGGCAGCAGAGTGCATATGTTTTGGCATGCTGCTTAAGCAAGCACTTTGGTGTCTCACTTTATAGTAATTCTTTCCTTTGTCCCTCTTCTTCCTCTTTCTCCTTTCCTAGTCTGTCTATTAAGCTCTTTTTAGGTACCAGGCTGTGGACTTCCAGCACAGGAGAGATAATAGTGAACAAAATAGACTTGGTTCCTCCGTTTTTTGTAAATAGGGGTCTCCATTCCTTTATTTTCCATGACACAAAGCACAGGACTAGACTCAAAATAGGCAAACAACTACCCAGAGACGCTTTTGGGAGGAAGTCCTGTCTCAGGTGCTACCGTGTATAGAAGAGTGGGCACTGTCAGCAGGGTCTCAGGTGTTATGTGTGGTGTGCAGAGTTCTAATCTACACAACTTAAGGTTCCTCACTCTCCTCTTCCTTTGAAAGCTGTTCCCTGGTGCCTTTCCAATGGGAGCAGCTCTTCATGTCCCAGAAGATGGCTAAGGAAGGGAAGTGGATTTGGTGACTTGCATTAACAGACAGTTCTTGCTGCTGGATTGGCCCAGAAGGGAGGCGTTGTGTGGCAGTGGTACTTTTCAGTGGAGGAAGCAAACTGCACTCCTTGGGGAAATAATTGCCAACTTCCTCCTGGGATTGGCTTTGCAGGTGGTCACCCTTGCCTCCTTGTGTTCTTTGGACTCTCTCCTTTCCTGTTGCCTAGGTGCTACTTGAGAGCTGGTGGCAATCACCCACAGCTCAGTCAACCTGCTAACTGTACTGTTTGGCACATTGACACCTTCTGAACTGTGCACTCAGAGACAGCACACTTAAGTTTGTCAGGAAAGCCAATAGGCCTGCCTGGTGTCTGTGGAAATAGGTGAACCTGTTCACTAACTGATGCCTAGCTAGGAAACAAGGAGGGTGTCCTGGGGTCCATTTTGAGAGTAAGGAAACAAAAGGTAATAAGCTTTTAAGTTTTCATTGTATCTCATTGTATTCCATTTCATTCTATCAAAGATAGATACATTTCTATCTTTGACTTTAGCTGCTTTAGACAATAGAGTGATGCAATGTTCTCAATTCACCGTGTTGTACTACTATCACCACTATTTGGTTTCAGAACATTTTTATCATTGCCAAGGGAAACCCCAGCTCTATTCTCAGTCACTGCCCTCCTGTCTCTCTCCCCAGCACTGACATAATCTGATTTCTTTTTTTGTTGTTGTTTTGTTTTGGTTTTTGGTTTTCGAGACAGGGTTTCTCTCTGGAACTTACTGTGTAGACCACACTGGCCTTGAACTCACCTGCCTCTGCCTCCGGAGCACTATGATTAAAGGCATGCACCACCACTGCCTGCCTTAAAATGGGAAGGTTTACCATGAGTTTTTTTTTTCCACCTCAATTGTTTATTCTCTTATTGTCATGTTTTAAGAATTTCTGTGTATTTTTGATGAATCCTTAATCAAACATTTGTTTTGGATTAATTTTCTGAGAGTTTGTGGTTTTCCAATTAATATCTCAATAGAGCACATTTGAAGAAAGTCCAACTTAGTGTTTTTTTTAAGAACACAATTTTATGTTACATCTAAAAGTTTACTATAAAACTCAAGCTCTCTGTCGTCTTTATTTGCCCTGATGTCTACAGTTCGTGACATAAGTGTTTTAAAGGGCTTCATACCATGAGTTTTTGTTTGTTTTTATGTTTTTTTTTATTTTTTTTTTTGTTTTCTGCTTACTGGCCTTGCATAGTATGCACATTTCCTTGAAATAGAATTATATAATATGTGGTCTTTGGAACTGATTCTTACACTTAGCATCATGTTTTCAAGGTTTATCTATGTGACATAATGGTACTCTGTTCTTTTATATGGCCTTTTGTGTCTGGCTTCTTTTAGTTACCATCCATGTTGTTCCTTTTTATGGATTAGTAATATTCTTCTGTGTGGACATGACCTCATTTTGTTTATCCATTCATTGGACATTTGGGCTGTTTCCAGCTTTTGACCATCAGGAGTGTAAAATTTGTTTGAACACCTGTCTTCAGTTCTTTTCAAAAATTAATTTATTGTATGTATGCAGACGTGCGTGCTTGCGTGCCTGCATGTGTCTGTCTGTCTCACCCTCTGCAGGTCACATCGTGTATGTAGAAGTCAGTGGGCAAATTGTGGGGTGTTTATTGAACCTTGTAAAGCAGGATCAGGTTTTGTTGCTGTGGACTCCAGCCTAGCTGGTGTGTGAGCTTTCACTTGATTCTCCATTTCCGGTCTTGTCATTGCAGTTCTGAGACTATAAATGCTTAGTGTCACACCCAGCTTTTTCCATTCCTTCCAATGATCAAACTTTTGTCACCAGGCTTGTACAGAAAGCGCTGTTCTCTGCTGAGCCATTCTCTAACACCTTGTCTTGAGCTCCTTTGGACAGAAGCAAAAGGGCTTTTGTTTTGTCCTATTAAGACAGGGTTTCTTCTAGGTGGCCCAGGCTGACCTCAAACTTGATTCTCTTGCCTCAGCCTTCAGAGTAGTAGGGATTGTATATGTGTGTGCTGCCATGCCTAGCGTTATGTGTTTGGTTTTTGAGCTGTAAATTAAGCTTAGAATCTTTCACATGCTAAGCATGTGTTCTACCACTGAGCTACGCCCGTAGCTACTTACCTTACTTTAAAGAAGATAGGTCATGACTGGGCACCTTCATAGTGTGATAGGCATAGGATTCTGCTTGTAGAGGAATGCCCTGTGCCCTTTGAAGCTGAGGTCCCCAAGCTACATGCCTTCTGGCTGATGTGTAAAAAAGAGTAGGTCCAAGGGGACTGGAGACTGTACATGTCACAGCTTCCTCCAGCCAACTGTTAACATATGGGAATGCAGAAACAATGCTGCCAGATCTTTGGATTTTTATCTATTTCTTAAATAAAAGTTGGAGATCTAACTTTTAAGTGAAATCTCCCTGTTTTAAAATACTGGAGGCTGGTTTTTATTTTTTTTTCTTTTATTAAAAACTAGGCCATATATCGGTGGGCCACATGGGGTTTCTGCCTGCTTGCATGCAATCTGTTGTGAGCAGGAAGTGGACATCTTTCCTGTCACCCCTGGCTTTTCCCCCTCTTTCCCTCCCCCAATTGCACCGGGATAATCCTGGAGATTTCCTCCTCGTCTCACACCTCCTCTTCTTTCAACAGATCACCTCTCGGATCTTCAGGGCAGGGCAGAGGGTGATCCTCGAGCGTCCTGGGATTTTTACAGCAGTTCTGTGTTGGGTAAGCTCTAAGTGGGAAGAATCACAGGGGACTGGTTCTATCTCACCAGCTTCTTGGAGGTAGGGGCCCAGCTGTGGAGGCATCCCTTCCTTAGCTGGTGGTAGCTTATAGGCCCTTTCAGCCTATCCCCCTCAGACTCCAACCACTATAATGAAGCCTGAGATGCCACAAGGATTTGCATGAAGTCATCCTCCCCTGCCAACCACCTTTCCCCACCCAGGGTGCTTTGTAAACCCAGGTGTTTACCTCTTTTGGTCCTGCTCAAACCGAGTAGGAAGTATCAACCCCTCACTTGGCAACTTTCCTTCACTCCACTTGGCCCCCTTTGTTTTCCCCTGCTTTGTTTTTCAGATAGGGTGTTACTATGTAACTCTGGCTGGCCAGGAACTCAGAGATCCTTCTGCCTCTGCCTCCCAAGAGCAAGGAGGTGTGGACCACCACACCAGTTCAGCCCTTGTTTTTTGAGATTGCTGTGGTCCTGATCCCTTAAAACCCTCTGGCCCAGACATCATGCAGCAAGAAGATCATCACACTTTTGTCTGTGATCATCCTGTTATTTGTCCAGAGTGAGCCAGGGGCTGGATGTTAAGAGCACGTTGGGCTCAAATGCAGTGGGTTACACCCAAATGATTGCTTGGGGAAGGGAACCTTCTGAGTCCCTGGACTTCAGGACCAGGCAGTGAGCTGGCTTGGGATGCTATAGTCAGAGGACAGGTGTTTTACTTTACTCTAGCTCTTGATGGCTGCTAGTATCTTCTCTTCCATCTGGAAGAGCTGAGCTGCCATCCTTTCAGAGTATTTTGCTTTATCCAATCAGAGGGTGGAGAAGGATAATGGACTCTGGCCATAGCATATTTCCTTCCAAGACTAGAACTTTTATATGCCCTCTCAAGGAGGGACTTGTGGCTTTGTATTTATCCCCTAAGCATCCCCTTTGTATCCCTTTATCTGGCCGGAGCTTTCTCTTCAGTTTTATGCTTGTAGCTGATCCCCTGGGTACTTACTTTACAGAGAAAAAAGACGGGTTTGCCTGTGACCTCCTCCATAATCCTCCTGGGAGTGCTGAGCAAGGAGACGATTCAGAACAGGATGAAGTCATGTTCGAACTCTCAGACAAGCCTCTTCTCCCTTGTTACAACCTCCAAGTGTCAGTGTCCCGTGGGTAAGTTTCTGAGAAGTCTACAGGGACTGTGTGACAGTGTCCTGGCAACCCCTGGCCCGCCTCCTAGGGAAGGAGGAGCTTTCCAGGAGGAGGTAAATGTAGCCTGGGGAATGAGTGCTGGAGTAGAGAAGAGATGCCCTGCTCCTCCAGTCCACATGGGCTGTAATTTACATCCAAACTCAAGGTTCACAGATCTCTACACCTTGGCTACCAACTTGTATTTCCAGGCATCCAAATCTGAAGAATTTTTGCACTGTTGCTATGTGTAGTTGATAATCTGGGGAAATATTTGGGACGATGAACTATTAGAATCTCTGGAACATTTTTTGTGGTTTCTGGGGACAGCTAGAACAGAATATTTGCAATTGAGATTCTTGGAAAAGCCAGACATATGGTTGCCATAGCTTTGGATCCACTAGGCTCCTTAAGCAATCCACAGCAAGGCTCTCGTAGCCTTAAAATCAGCACTCCTGGTTCAGGCAACTGTGCGTACTACAGGGGAGCCCCATTCTTTGGAAACTAGAGTATACCTGACACCTGGTATTAGACTGAGCCCAACTGACTCCTCGTTGATTCAGAATTGGCTGAATTGTGACTCGAAGGGAGTTGGTTAGCCTTCAGGAGCACACACTTTGGTGGGTTTTCCAGTGTGTGGGGGGGGGGGGGGGA